AAAAGAGTACTTAACCCATTATTTAAATGTTTTTAAAAATGTTTTTTTAATGTATTTTAAATATTTTTAAAAATATTTTTTAAAACATTGTGTGCTGGTTGGGTAATCATAAGAAATTAACCAATCATTGTCAAATGTGAAGAGAATAATCTATGGTTGGTCAATTTCTTATAGCTTATATAGTGTTTTCGATATGTTGACTCGATCCGACTCTGTGTCAAAAATATCAAAATGGTCTGTTTTTTTTGGCATTCTTGCACACTTTAACCATCCACTTCGTGTCGGCACCTTTGATCTTATTTTCCAGATCACGTGAACATCCACCATGTTAAATCCAGGACCGAATTGAGAAAAGTGCCTCACAAAAGTAAATGGATTCGATACAGTAAATCAATAAATTCAATGTGTGAATCGAATAAAACGTTTTATTAGTAACAATTATTCGTAGGAGTGATCACTAACGAAAATTTCTGATGTAATTGCTTATAAATTGTCTGCACATATGTATGTATACGTTCCTATCGTCTTGCATTTCATTGGATCCAACCAAAACAAAAGTTGCGCGGCGATACCTGCACGAAGACTCAATTTTTTGCTGAGTGGACCTACTGGTTATACTGTGCTTTAACTATTCTTTTATAGCTAAAAAGAACAGACCATCGACTCGGACTCGGATCGAGTCAACAAATCGAAAACGCTATTAAAGCTTACTACATCTATATTTACTGGGAATAATAACTCCCGTATTTAAGGCGCGACAATGCTTGCCGCGCAGTAAGCTGTGATGCGGTAGCCAATCAATTTCACTTTTCATAAAAGCGGAAAAATGATTCGCTATTGCGTCGCATCTTGCCGTGAGCATGTTTTGACATCAAAATAACCTCTTTGGCATAAAAATAACGACAAATAACGTGATTAGCTTGTTTCCTGGATCGTATGTGCAGAAGTCAGAAGTTATTATTGCGCTGCCAATCGCCGCCATCTTGGTTTATCATATCTCTCCTTTCCCCTTGAGCTCCAACTCCGCCGCAATATGCTCCGTCCAGATATTTCATACGTCCATGATCTCGTCTTTTTAGCTTTGTTCCTCTCTTTATTCCCTTTATTCCTATGTTCGTGGAAAAAAAACCTCGTGTGTTGCAGGCTTTAGTTTTTCGATGAATACCTTTTAGCAGGAGACGCGAAAGTCATTATGTCTTTATTCGATATTCATAATGAGATTGCATAAATGGAAAAACGGAATAACTCCTTGACAGAATGATTTCTGAATGGCTCAGAATGATTCTGAAAAGCTTTCCGCAGAAGGGATAGGAAAGGGGAGTGGTGAATGAAGGAGGATAATATCAGTTGTAATCTCAGTATAGTATCAATACCGCACGTGTTCGTAAGTACCAACACTTTCCAAAGTCAGTACATACGTATCGCCGGTGGTCCCCACTCTGAAGCGCGCTCGCAAAAACGGTGGAAAGCGATAGTTGTGATAGAGAGCATGTAGCGGTGCGTCCAAGATTTTCGCCGTCGGTCGATACGTGTGTAGAGCGCGAGGAGCAGAGTAGATTCGTGTGTACTGCAAATGGTGCATCGCGAATTCTCATAAAGTAAGTGCTATCGTCGTAAGTTTGGTCGCAGCAGGAGGCGCAGGAGCGCTTCCATCACACTCCCGATATTACCGCGTAAAGCCGGATCCAAATCGAGCATGGCAGGTGCGAGTGAACATTCCGACAAACACGAACGATATCATCGCATCGTGGCGGCGGAGCAAGCCGTTCATTCACATTCGTTCGCGCTTGGTTTGCGGACAAGCTCGGATTTTCATCTGGATGGGACGTTCGAATTAGCGAGTTGCGTCTGATGAAAATTAGAAAGAAAATGAGAAGAACATTGAAAAAAATTAAACAATAGTAATGAAAATTCCTAGAATGAACTCTGCATCGCACTTAATTGTAGCTATATAAGCTATATACATATATAGCTGGCAATTGCTGAGAAATATTTTTCTACTGATAAATTCAGTTAAAAGAAAAAGGGGAAAAATCGTTTTATTATTAAAAGTTTAGAAACTCTGACCAAAAATCTAAAAGAAATGATCACAGGATTTGCTTGCTGATTGTGAATAAAGATTCACGCAAGAGTACATTCGCGCGTGTGCAACAAGTTGCATGTGCAATCAAAGGAAACAAACCTTTAAAATTATATGCACAAATGACTAAAAATAAATTTATATATTCTCATTATTCATTTTCAAAAGTTTTATTATCATTTGAATGTTGTTATAAGTATCTTCATGCTTTAGTTTTCCATCGAAAAGAGTTAACTTCGCATATATGCTTAGAAATCCAGATAATTCAGAGACATCCGATACAGTTGACCCATAAGAATTAACAGCGCGGACGGGGAAGCATCGTTAAGAAGCCTGGTCGCGAGTGAACCAATTGGCGGGTGTCATTGCGATTCGGCGGAAATAGCTGGCGGCGCGTCACGGTGTTTACCGCATCGCGTACTTAATAATCGCTCATCCGACGACAGCCAATCGGAACGGAAGAAAACCGGCGGCGGTCGGCGTATATTTAGCGTGTCGAAGTCACGGATTTCACGGAACGCGCCACACGGACACGCGACCGTCATCGTCGGAGTGTGCCGCCTCTCACCACACACGCGCGCGTCCGGCGCACTCGCGCTCACCGATTATGCAATTGAGCCGTAATATTTCGCGACCGCGGCTTTGCTGTCGCTTACGAACGAGGAGAGTCACGTATTGTCGATTACGATCGACTGCGTGTGCGTGTCTCCTTGCGCGACGGTGAATGCGCGTCCATGCGGCATGCGCACGAATTCGGAATCCATATCGGTGCACGCGGAACGACACATGTATGCGCGTGCGTGTGATCACTTTTTGCAACATTTCAAAAGCTACTTGTCATTGTATGAGAATAATGATTCTTTCTTGCGGAAAATGAGCAAAAATAAGACGTAGAAAAAGTGACTTTATCTCTATGACGGTTAAAATGATTTTACATCCTTAATACAACAATACTTATCTAATCATGTTCATACTATCTTCCCTCTCTGTACAATCTTTCTTTACTATACTTACTTTATTTATATCCTTATCAGTTAATTTGATATTGCACTTGATTTAATTCCAAAAGACTCGAGAAATAATTGCGCTGTGTAACAAATGCTAGCTAGGTCAATGAAATCTTAAAGAAGCAGCTTGAGCTGAGTGTATTAATATTATATTTTGTTATTTTGCAGAAAATGGCATGTGCTATATATATGATAGGAGTGCTGCTATTGGGAGGAGCAGCAGCTTGGACCATCGATATTGTACCTAACATAACTGTACATATGAATGAAGTAATATCAATCCCATTCAGCGTACATGACAGCTTATTGTATCCACATACATGGGTAGTTAGTACAGACCGACATATTGCAACAGCAAGTTTTCAAGAGATAACGTCAAACCAAACTTCTTTTAATGGTATTTTAAATATTACTGGCGTATTCCTTGGTAGGACGAAATTAACGTTCACTATGACAAAAATGACGGTAGGCACTAAGTAAATATTCAATTTTGTTGTTTTATTTTTGAAGACATAATCAAGGTTTCTTTTTTTTAGAATAAAAGCCAGGAAGTATCTTTTATTACCGTAATACGACAGGAACGCATCATAGACACTATATTTACTGCCAGTGTAGCAGTACTTGTATCCATTTTGTATATTAATTTCGGCTGCGCCATGGATTGGGGCGTATGCCGCGATACATTAAAAAAACCAATAGGTCCAGCCATAGGTTTCGTCTGCCAGTTTTTGACAATGCCATTGGTAAATTTCCTTATCATATAAACATGCTAGATGTATCATGTAGTCGATATATAGATGTTATACTTACATTGATAATGCACTGTATTTTACATACTCTTTTGTCAACCAGACTTTCCGTAATTTTGATTTTATATTATTTCCAGTTAAGTTTTCTCATTGGATATCTTTTATTTCCTGATCGTCCTGAACTGCAAATAGGTATGTTTTTCACAGGAATAAGTCCAAGCGGTGGCGCTTCTAATATATGGACACTGTTACTTGATGGCAATTTGAATCTTTCAATTACAATGACCACTATATGTACTATAGCTGCATTTGGTATGTAATATGTGACATACAAATAATTCTTGTATTCTTGTATAAAATTTTGCTATTCTTTACAGGAATGATGCCATTTTGGGTCTTTGCATTGGGTAGATATATTTTTGCAGAGGCAGAAATCGCAGTTCCGTATCGCCATATCGGAACTTTAATGGCTGGTCTCATGATTCCATTGGCCATAGGATTTTTCATTCAAAAAAAGTTTCCAAGGGTATCGAAGATATTGGTCCGAATAATGAAACCTTTTTCTGTGATTTTAATTTTATTCATCATTATATTTGCTATCACGACTAATCTATACCTGTTCCAACTGTTTTCGTGGGAAGTAAGTCTGTTTTTTCTACAAATTCATGAAAAATATAATATATATAAATATATATGAAATGTGATTTTATTTTTTTATTTCAGATTGTAGTCGCAGGAATGGGCTTACCCTGGTTAGGTTTTACATTTGGCTTTGTAATAGCGTATATCTGCAAGCAACCTCAAGCTGACATACGGGCAATAGCCATTGAAACTGGTATTCAAAATACGGGCGTGGCGATATTTTTGTTACGATTTACATTGAAGTCACCCGCTGATGACCTAACTACTGGTGAGTCTATATATGCGTACATGCATTATCATCTTACATAATTAATCATCTAACAAAATATCTTCTTTTTAGTGGTTCCTGTGTCTGCCGCGATAATGACACCAATACCATTAGTAATTTTATTTATAATAAAATTGATTTATCGATATAGAAAGAAAACAAAAACGGAAGTGACACTAGATCCTGTTCCGTCGTTAGAAAAACTCCAACAAACTACAGATATCGGCACGATCACACAAGTGAATGATTCTAGAATTATATTTGATCGTGCAGAATAATAATTCATTGTGTATATGTATATATATATATATATATATGGGCCATTCCACGTGAAGCGGATCAGTCATCTCTCAGTAAATTTTTCTAATTTTGCACTAAAGGTAGTACTTTGGGAGATAGAATTTTGTGCCAAAGGNTTT